CTCTACCAGCCCTGGGATCCAGCAACCTTCAGACATTAGTCCTAACCTACAGAGCCACGCACCACAACAAGGACTAAAATGGGAAACTGAAACGGGAACTAGTGCTGGCAGAAAAGAACACTTATAACATAATAAAAAATAAAAATTTGTGCAGAGATTTCCTACTTCCCCTTAATATCTGTGCATCTGCGTGTCTCACTGTGTGTTCTAGTAGTCCAGATTGGCGGTTCCTGGACATCAGGCTCTCAGTTACACTATTAGCTAGACAGAGGCAGCGTCGCTGGCATTCCAAGGCACAACCGCTTGTTAATGGCCTCCCACTGTTCTATTCATTATGCAAGATAATGACAGACCCCTTATTTTTCTATCATTAAGTCATAAGCCTGCAGATTTCTTCTGAGTAAAATGTATTTTTTCTTTATATACTTCTCCTCTCTCTAGATATTTTTGTTCAATCCCTTTGTGTTACTTCTTTGTATCTTTCCCCAGTGGTCTCCCTATTTTACTGTCAGACAGATGTTTACTGCCAGGGTTGGATGTGGATTTTTCTACGGCAGTAAGGCTGATTTTCTCATTAGCTTCCTGAAGGCCCGTGTGTCAGAGGTGGTGCCTTACTGCCCGGAAGCCGGACTCTCGCCTGGGTTATATTAGCCGCTGTGGCCGGCATCCGCTGTACCAGTCCTTTCCATCCTCACTTAAAAATAGCTGAATGAGCAGAGAGTACAGTATGTCTGTGTATCCAATACACTACTTCGTATGAGTAACGCATATGTTCTAAGGAAGTCGCCTTCTATGCATTTCTAATCGCTTCCCTTTGATTTTACCTTTCCAGCCATTTTCCATGACCTCTGGTCCTAGTGAGGTCCTAGTGAGCCTGGAACCGGACCCAGGAAGCACAGGATGTGATGTAGGGGACACTGTGAACGGGACGCCAGTCCCTGATGCAGTCAGTCACACAATATTGGCAATTTAGAGACAGCAGTCCACTTAAACTAAACTTTGGACTGTGGGAGGAAACCCAGAGGACTTGCAGGCTCACACATACTGAGCTGGGAAAGGTATTAAACCAGTAACTCTCAGTGCTACCCATTGAGACATACAGTATAATACATACTTTACGATAATATATGAAAAGCCAGGTTAATTTAATTTCTTAAAATTATATTTTGGAAATGATTTCTGAACCCTTAAACTGATGTCGCCCTGATTCAGTTGCCAGGGTATGTCTTCTGTTTCGTATAAATATATACAGTTGGTGTGCAAATGCAACAATGATATTCAGATGGTCTTAACTGACGCGATTACACAGAAAAACCCATGTCAGTGGCCTGAATATCACTTTTTTGGTATGGATTTCATCATTTTAAAAATATATTTTCTGATGTTTTCTCAGAGTTATGTCTGTCACTGAGAACACGCAGTAGCTCAGTTGTTCTAATTGACAAAAATACTAACATTGGTGACACTTTTTATGCATTATGCAGTAAAGTAATGTACTCTAATTTAAATCCCACTCAGCAGCTGGAATGAACTAAGCTGCAGATATATCGTGGTTTGTTAGAAAGGCTTAAGTGTAGGTGTCCTTGCTGCAGAGAGAGGTTAAGTACACGCTGTAACTGCAGGGGCGAAACCAATAACCCTGCCGATCAACAGAAACAAGGGTCGCCAAGGTGACCAAAGGATAGCTAAGATGACTCACATGCCAGGACGTCCTTATCAGTCTGCTGGCGTGACATTCAAATTCCATTTTGACCCATTCTTAGGCATGTTTAAGGCTGCAACTAGATTAAAGAAAGGGAGTTAAAGTCTGTCGAGGGAGCAAGTGCAAATGTGGGTACAATAGCTAATGGCGGGAATTAAAGCAGTACTTCATGAGAGTGTCGTCATGCATCTGCTTGAAAGTAAACAGGAATTGCAGCCAGACGGCCGTACGGTGTGGCTAACTGCTGGCCACAATGGCCTTACTGTGCTTTAAGTACACACATGGGTCTCGGATCCGCAGCATCCATCCCCTTTCCCAAGATATAGCATGATTGTACTTTGAAGGACAATAGGGTTCCAGTGTAACGAATAATGAGTTAACTTGCCAGCAGGGGGATGTAATCGTGTAGACACAGTGTGGGAGTTCTCGCTGTTTCTGTTTGTGTGGACACTGAAGGACTAGTGTGGGTGGGATTCTTGGGTTGGGAGTTCTTGGGGTTGGGCCATGGGAGGGGGGGGGCTTGTTTTTCACGGCGGTTTGCTGGATGCATAAGTAACATGCACAATGTAATCCAACAAACTTCATCGCCATGTGTTTCCGTATCAGGAGGTCTTTGTTCAACATTCTTTAAGATGCCCATCAGCTTCCAAAATGTGGGAGAATTTTAGAATATGCTATAAGTTTTTTATGTAAATCCAAAAGTAATGGAATACATTACCAAAAGTGCTGACTTGTTAAATGCATGGCTGATCCACTTCTCTGTTTTACATCTAAAAAGAAATTAAAAAATGAGGAATGATGCTTGTTCAATGCACTGATTCGATTTCCTGTTTCAATGGTTGTCTGTTGGACTCAGTTTAATTTCTTTCATTCCATTTCATTCCAGCTCTTGTTTTGTTTTACAGTTTAGTGAATAGAAGCATACACATCAATCATACGTACACACTGAGTGAGCGCTCTATTAGGTACAGTTGATTGCTAATGCAAACAGTCTGCTCCTCCGAACAGCCAATCACGTGGCTGCAACTGAATACATATTGTTTGACAGCTAAGACTTATAATTGCTCTTGACTTGTGTATTGTGATGACAACAGTAACTAACAGGTCGTGTAATTTTAAATATAGTACATATATACATTACATGATGGTTCCAGCATCACAGGAACAGCCATCCTCCTGGGATTTTTTTACAGAGCATGATTCTGTGAGTGTCAGCATGTGTTGCCCAATTGTGTCAGGCTGCAGAGCATTGTGGGTATTACCTTGTTTTTCTTATTGCTGTGAATATCTGTGAATCAGGGCTTCCTTAAAAGCTGTGGTTCCTGGCAAGCATTGCCCAGAGGAGCCTTAGCTAACACAGAACCATGTTTATAAAAGGAGACGGAGGCCCTATTTTGAAATGGGTTTCCAATTAGCCTGCATTGAAACTGAACTATGTGGATTAAACAGAGCTGCCTTTTGAGTATTGCTATGTGGTAGATAAAGAAATGTGTACTTGGTATGGAGTGAAGTAAGGATATCCCTGTTCAAGAGAATGCGGTGCCGTTTTTTTTTCCAAAGAAACTTAAAATATTACCATTTCATGCAGCTGATTATCTGAAGCAATTGAGCAGTAAGTAGTTCAATCAGGTTTGGCAAAAAGTGTCCCACAGCTGAGTGCTTCCTTGGATGAGGATTAGGGCTTGTGCTTTTACCATGATTTCTACCAACAAATCAAAATATATGTCATAGATTTTTTTCATAGGCTCTGAATAAAACGTCTCACTTCCTATGGCATTATGCTTAGAAAAAACTTACACTACATAGACAAAAGTATTGGGACACACCTTTTAATCATTGAATTCAGGGGTTTCATTCAGACTTATTGTCATAGCTTTATAAAAATGAAGCACCCAGCCATGCAGTCAGGTTTACAAACATTTGTGAAATAATGGGTCGTTCTGAAGAGCTCAGTGATTTCAAGCGTAGTACTGTCATACTGTAGGGTGCCAAAGTCAGTTTGTGAAATTTCTTCCCTGCTAGATATTCCACAATCAACTGTAAGTGGTATTATTGTTAAGTGGAAGCGTTTAGGAATGACATAAACTCAGCCACAGAGTGGCAAACCACGTAAAGTAACAGAGCGGGGTTGCCGAGTGCTGAGGCGCATAGTGCGTAAAAATTGCCAAAACTCTGTTGACTTAGTAACTGCAGAGTTACAAACTTCCTTTGGCATTAATCCCAGCACAAGAACTGTGCACCTGGAGCTTCATGCAATGGGCTTCCATGGCCGAGCAGCTGCATGCAAACCTGAAACCTTACATCACCAAGCACAAAAGCATGGGATGGCATGGTGTAAAGCACACGGCCACTGGACTCTGGAGCAGTGAAAATGTGTTCTTTGGAGTGACGAATCACGCTTCTCTGTCTGGCAGTCTGATGGATGAGTCTGGGTTTAGCAGATGCCAGAGAACATTACCTGCCTGACTGCATTGTGCCAACTATATAGTTTGGTGGAGGAGGGATACTTGTATGGGGTTGTTTTTCAGGGGTTGAGTTAGGGCCCTTAGTTCCAGTGAAGGGAACTCTTAATGCTTGAGCATACCAATACATTTTGGACAATTGTAAGTTTCCAACTTCCAACAGTTTGAGGAAGGCCTTTTTCTGTTCCATCATGATTGTGCCCCAGTGCACAAAGCAAGGCCCATAAAGAGTTTGGTGTGGAAGAACTTGACTGGCCCACACAGAGCCCTGAACTCCATCAAACACCTTTGGGATGAGCTAGAATAGAGATCGCGAGTCAGGCCTCCACATTCAACATCAGTGCCTGACCTCACAAATGCTCTCCTGGATGAATGGGCAAAAATTTTCACAGACACACTCCAAAATCCTGTGGAAAGCCTTCCCAGAAGAGTGGCAGCTGTTACAACTGCAATGGGGGGACCAGCTCAATATTGATGCCTGTGTATTTTGAATGGAATGTCATAAAATTCCTATAGGTGTAATGGCCTGGTGTCCCAATACTTTTGTCCATATATGTGTCCATCTCATTGGCATGAATTTGCCCTTTTCTTCTGAAAATGCCCAGTAGCAGTAGGCAAGCTTGCCAGTGCAGTCAGAGCAAAGCACTACTCTGAAATGCCAGCTGTCACCCACGCAGTCATGCAGTCAGACAAGTTATACTCAGCTGGTGCAACTTTACCTTAAAAAAGAGGCTGTATGTTTTAATTCATTTTTGTCTTGTGTATGAATATTGTGTAGAATTACAATTTGTTAAAAATCATACTTTCCTTCTGACAGCGTCTTCTGTCTTTCTCAGGGCATTGTTTACATACGATGGGGTCACCAACAACCTCAAACTGTCCGACTCAGGAGGTAAGTTCACATATGACATGCTAACAAAGAGCTTTAGAGAGAACATTGTTCAGTTTAGTTTATTTAGTTTAGTATATTCTGCTTTCCCCTAAAAAAGAGAGCATAATTAGGTACTATACATACCCCTATGCTTACAGATACCCTTATGGCTTATCCTCCTGAGACCCAAGGAAAAAGTGTCCTTCAATTATAGGTTATCTGTCTTTGGAGGAAATAAGACATCTTACAATTTAGATTTTTTCAAATGTATTTTTATTTTTAATTTCACAGCATGTCCTCTTTAGTGTACAACAGGAATAAATACGTTACCTTACATCAGTGAAAAGATAGATGCAAAAACAACATGTTCACTGGAATGGACATAAATGAATGGGTGGGGTCTCAGGAGATTAAACTCAATGAATGTGTATGATATTTTAAATTGTATTAGTCTAGCAGTGGCACTAAAATGTTATAATTTCCAAAACAGGAGAAGCCATCTAGGGCCTTGTCCACATCTACACGGGTATTTTTACAGGCGATGTTTTTCCTCCTCCACATGAAAACGCTAAAATGCACTGTGGAGAGCACGCCAAACCAACAGGTGGCGATATAACTCTAACCGTAAAGCCATGCTGGCCAATCAGAAGCCTTATTTCCAGTTCTGCGAGGCTAAAAATAGCTAATGTAAACAGTGAACCGCGCACACTCTGATATCAAACAAAATGGATAACAGCACACAATCTGACATTACAAGCCAAAAACTCAGTTTTCCCTGTCTACACGTCGATATTGAAAACGGAGATCCTGAAAACCTTTACCCTGTACAGAGTTTTACGAAAGCTCCGTTTTCAGTGACCTAAAATGCCGTTTGTGGATGAAAGGCCACAACGCATTGAATAACCTACGCTTTTAAAAACGCCTGTGTTCATGTTGGCAAGGCCCAGGGGTCAGTTTAAAAAGTGTCCGATCTGTATCACTTCTCTCTCACGCTCTCATTTTATTCCCTCATACCCTTTCTTCTTTTGTCCAGCTGGCAGTGTGTCAGAATTGGCAGGGAAGTTTCAGGAGAGTCGTCCACTGTACGGACTGTGCCGGATCGAAGCCAAACCGTCCGTACCCCGTATAGTGATGATCACCTGGGTGAGTCTACAGAGGGCACTTCTGTGTGGCGTTATTTGAATATTTGTGTTCATTTTAGTTTATGCTCATTGATGCACAATCGCTGGTTGAAAGTTAGAAACATTAATTCAGTTATAAGTAGAGATCTTGAGTTGTAAAAATATTTATAAGATTAGTAGATTTTATAATTCCTGCTAATGGCATTGTTAATAGATGTTTTTTTCCTATAGCTGTAAACTTAGACTAAGGCCAGGGAGGGGATGCTTGGGACATTCTTCTAATGTGTGATTTCCATGGAAACTGTTCAGCAGGGGTCAAAGGTCGCATCTGTAGCCAGTCAGGCAGGGAGGCAGGGAGGCCAGGGAGACCAGGGATGGGGGGATGGTCTGTGACCTACCACCTCCACTCCTAACTGCTTCCTGTTTGCCTCACATGCAAACAAACATGCTTCTTAAAACATTGTTGTATACAGCTTATGATTTATACACTCAGATTCCATCCCAGAAAGTGATTTTTAGTGATTGATGTGAGTTATACAAAAATTCAACAACAAGAGATACTCAAATATAGAACTGTTTATTTTATGGTATTATCGTGCTGCATGCTTTTAGATTGTGCTTTTTGTCAAGTGGTACTCATTTTGAAAAGATCCTGGGTCAAAGTCAGATTTGTAGCTCTTAAAAAGTTCCTTTAAGAAAGGCATTTCCTATGCAATTTGTTAATATTGTCACCGGTTGCTGTGATTATAGCTCTGGGTAGTATTGTCTTGTGTTGTACAGTGTGCAGTCATGATGCTGCTATGGAGAATTTTGCACATTGTAAAGTTTTTTGTGAGTAATGAAGTATTTGGGGGTAATGAAGCATTATCATTATAGTAATGAATGTATTGTTATCTATTGTTATGCATTAATGAAACCTTTCAGAGCTACTTAAGCATAATACTCTTTCATGTCCTCACTGTAGGTGGGTGAGGGTGTGGATGAATGTCGCAGGACAGAATGTGTTAGTCACGTTCCTGCCATCAAGGCATTTTTCAAGGTAAGTTACAATCCTCTCCTGCGGTCTTTGGTTTTCCTTACCATCTTCGCAGTAGTTCTTCTAGTATTTTTATATAGACAGAGCTTTAATATAAATCCTGTTAATACTAAATAGCTATTTAATATTGTATAAAATATAATATATAGTTGGAAGAGACAACAGTCTCAATATCTTTTCTGCTCTTGATAGTATTTTTTTTATATCCTATGAGAGACAGAAATGAAGTTGAAGTAATATGAAGCTTTTATTATATACCTATATTATCCAAATATTCATATTATCCATCAAAGAGAAGTAGAACAGAGAAATCAGAGAGCTCACTACTGCTTGTCGTGTTTTCTGAGTTGTCAGAATGTAGCTGAGCGGCAGTAGTTGCTTCGCACAGTGAGCATAGCTGAACAGTTACTTCAACATTTGGAAGCGTTCAAAACCCTATGAGTAAGCGGAGAATAATGCAGTCGCCCACCACCTCTGTACATCCTGTTTTTTCATCATTCTGCGTGTTCCAATCTGTGGCTTATTTCTTTTTAATTCCTCTGTCAGTATGCAAACACGTGACCTGTTAGTTATAGTTGTCATCGCAATACACAAGTCAAGACCAAGATCACTTGCTCCACCCTTTGAGAACCGGACTGTGGGTGCGGCACACTTGGACTTTTGCTGATAAATGGGTTGGACAAGGGTGGAGAAATTATACTTAATAACCAATCTTTGCTTAATAAATTCCATACAAGAATTTGTCCCCAGTTAATACATCAATTTCACTGCAATTTTTACATGACTCTGCACGTGTGTGTTTGTTGCGTTAGGATCTTGTGTGGGTGTAAGTAAATATTGTTTTTGGATGGGTTTCTGCGGATTCAGTATGTGCAAGAGAATGCCGGTGATTGTTAGAAGGTTTTTGAGGTATAATGCAATAATAGGTTTTAAACCTCACTGGTTTTTAAGGTTGAAGGATGTCATTGTTAACCCAAAATTGCACATATGAGCTAAGGTGTTGTTTCTGGCACTTTCTATAGTCTCATGTAGGCTTGAAGTGATCGTTCCAAGTGGACTGTTGCATAAAAAAGATGACATTGACATTCTTGCACAAAACGGATAAAGTGTGTGTGTGTGTGTGTGTGTGTGTGTGCGCGCGCGCGTGCATTTGTGCATTACTTCACTGTGGGTCACTGTAGCTCTGGGCCTTTCTATACGGCTGCCTCCACTAGGCTGCTGTAACCACAGGGATTTGTATGCTGTGTGTACAGAGGGGAATTCTGTCTGTATCTGCCTACCTCTCTTAATTGATCCTCTTCTATTATCCACTGTTTATTTAACATTTCCATGTAGCTGAATAGAACGTAATGAGTTCATTCAGTCTGTACCAAAGATCATTATTCACCATGTGAAATATATGCATCACCCAGTCAACCTCAGATGTATCCAAGGAATGTTTGTTGTTTTAACTTTCTTATTGGACACTGCATGAAATATTAAACCTTTTATACCATCTTATAAATCCCCCTTTCTCTTATGTACAATTTGCACCATAGTCTGCGTGTTAGAATATCTGAAGGGTCAGATGTCCATTAAGGTCATATCCAAATTGTGAAATCTATGTTTTGGACTTACTTAAGATATTCGGCCTACAACAGATTTGGTTGGTGTTTGGTGCCAGTGAAAATGGCTCTGAACAGGAATGTGTATATTCCACAATAAGCTTCAGACTTTCCATTGCAGTAGTTATCTTACTATAAATTTCAGTAAATGCAGCAGTCTGTTTTGTTGTGAATACTGATAAGTTATATTCTTGCCTGACTTGGAACATAATGACTGACTCAGACTTGCTACTGAATTCTGGAAGATATCTTTTATTATTGAACTCCACTCATAACAAATTATTGTGATTATTAGATATTAGTCTTGCAAAATAATTGTATGTTCCAGTTATTAATAAAAAAAATATTCTATACAAATTTGTAGTTTTTCATTTTCCTGCAGTCAGGGATGGTGCTTCTGGTAGGTAGGTAGATATAAAAACTTGTTTAATTAATAACTGTAGGTTTTTTGACCATGGTGCCCTCTGCTGGTCGAAGAGGAAACTAATCTTTTAATTTGAGTCACCAGTGAAACGTAAGTACTGTAAGTATAAAGAACAGCCATACCAGCACACAGTTGGTGTCCTAATTGTTTTGGCGGTTATATAACATCCATCTAACACCCACCCTGGTTGGGGATACAGGAGAATCTGGAGCCGATCCTGAACAGCACAAGGCAGGGCACCCCCAGGACAGCAATCCATGCATGTCACAGTTAACCCAGCATGCACTGGACTGGGATTCAAACCCCCAGCCCTGGAGGGGTGAGGCAGTGAAGACACCCACAGAGTCGATATGCCAGTCAGCCACCCTGGATGGTTTTGTCAAAGTTATCAAATTGAGATCTTTCTGCACTGCTTGTCTAACCAGCAGGTGCTGGGTGGGTGTGCTGAATGGGAGGCTTATCAGAAAAAGGCTCCAGATCCTGTTTTTATTGCTGCCAAAAATTACATTGACAGCAAGACTAGAACTGTGTGTGCTTTATGGGGCCAAATCTTAATCATTGCCTAAGCTGTAGGCCTATTTGTGCCAGTAAACTTTTTTTTTTTTTTTTGTGATTTCTATTTGTACTGGGGACTTCTCAACGTATGCCGCTGTGGTTGCATTCTGGAGTGTGCTCCTCCATGTCTGTAGAAGAGTCAGGGTCGGAATTTGCTACAGGAGATGAATAGGCAAAAAGTATCTTCAACCCACTGGAAGGCTAATGGTACAATGATGAAAAGCAGCTGCATATCTTGTGTTCTACTGGAAACAATGTTTTTCCAAGAAAACCTTTGAGAGGACAGAAAACGCTACAGGATAATAGATAATTACCCTCCCCCACCTCAGGGACAGTACAATGTAAAGGCAACATTTATAAAGGTCCAGCCTGAAAATGTGCAATGTATATAAAGCCAGTTTTTACATGAATTGGCAGAGCAGATGATGTGCAAGTCAGAAAAAAATGTGCAATATCTGAAAGGAAGACTTGAGATGTTAAGTAATCCCATCTTTAGACCAAAGCAGACAGGCTTAATTTTCTGTCTGCAAATGTTTGCTTTTCTATTATCAAGAACAGCAACCTGCTAGAACATTTCACCTCCATTGGTCTTTCAATCAGAGTACTACCTCTATCCCCACCCCAAAAAACAAACTTTGAAGGTAGTTCAAATGAAGTTCAAGTGTTTGTTTTGCTAGGATCAAGGATTTGTTGTCATTGTGCAAGTGTGATTATGCTAGTAATACAGAATTGAGCAGTTTAATGCACACGTAGAACATACATATGCATACATAAATACATACATGTAAAGAGATGCAAAACAAATACAAGTAGTTACACAAATTACAGTGGTTACAATCACTACACTAGGGCTACTATGAAATATTCCCAAAATTGTAAAATTTTGCAGAAAAATGCTGTATACAGTACAGCAATATAAACACCATCTTAATTGATTTTATATCTTTGTTATGATGCAAACAGCAGATGAGCATGAAGCTGTACAGTGCATTCACTCCACTTCATAAGTATTCAGACTCTTTGTTCTGTACTTTAATGCCTATGGCAGCAATTACACCTACAAGTTTTCTTATGGTGCTACAAGCTTGGCATACCTGGATTTGGGTTTGCCTGGATCTACCAGGCTGGATGTACCGCTGTTCTCAGGTCTTGCCAGAGCTGTTCATTTGAGGCTCTGGTTGGGCCACTCAAGGATGTTCACACACCTTTTGATCTTGAAACGTCTGAGGAGCAGCCTGCAGATATATACTTTCTTTGAACCCATGGCTTGTCTCCTGATCGTCTCTGTCAGCTCTGGGACCTAGTATAGACAGATCTGTGCCTGTTAATATTATTTAAGTTGTGGAAGCAGCTCAAGGACGGTCAGTGAGAATTGGGTGTACCTGACGCTGTTTTCAGTTGGCGAAGGATCTGAATACTTATGTACATATGATATTTCAGTGTTTATTTTTAATGCATTCATCCATTTTCTGTAACTGCTTGTTTTATTCAGGGTCATAGGGGGTCTGGAGCCAATGGTTGCAAGGCGGGGAACAATGCAGGATGGGGTGCCAACCAATCACAGGGCACACTCACACCATTCACTCACACAGGCAGTTTGTGGACTTGAGGAAACTGCACAACAACACGGGGAGAACATGCAAAATCCACACACATGGAACTCTGGCAGAGACTTGAACCCAGGCAACAGTGCTAACCACTGTACCACCAAGCCCCCCCCCCCTTTAAGTTCATCTACTGATATTTTTCAGATGTTTTTGCTTTTTGCTTATGGTGTATTGTCTGCAGATTTATGATTCGTAATGAATTTAACGCATATTAGGGTATGGCTGTCACATAACAAAATGTGGGGAAGTGGTGTGAATACTAGGTTCATGCTCCGTTTACTGTGCGACTCGGTATGATGTAGAAGTGGCCACGTGGGAAGCAAGCTGCTGAATAGCAGGATTCCACAAATCAAGGTCACAGAAAGGGAGAGGGAGACATTAACATGCGTGTTTCATTATGATTTAAAAAAACTGAAACTAGGTAATGAAGACCTTAAGGAAAGCTTTTTATACACTGCAAACCAGACAAAAGCCAGGAGCCTCCATGTTTTCCTCAGATTTATCTGCCTCTTCGATTTAAGCTCTTGTTTGACAGTCTGCACATGGCTCAGAGCACAGTGTATTCCCGGAAATACGGATTATTCTTTATACTCCTGAGAAGCTTCAGGTTTCTTTGTCTTTATTATTAGAGTATGGGGGCGCATGCTATATGGCAGTACTTTGCAAAAAGCCCTCCACCTGCTTTCTATTTTCAGAGACGACTTCCAATGTGTTGCCAAAAACCAATGGGAAATGGTATATCAGTTCAGTTCATTGTTATGTATATGGCGTTTTTAACAAGGAGCATTGTCACTAAGCATTTTACAGACTCATGAGCCAGAGGTCCCCAGAGAAGAAGCCTGAGGTAACAGTTGCAAGGAAAAATGGGGAGAGGAAGAAACCTTGGCAGGAAAGAGAATCAAGGGGGGCGTCCATCTTCTTCAGGCTAACACCAGCGAGCCTGAAGTGACAAGCTTACGTAGATTAATGCTAAGTACACTGAGGAGAATGGCAAGACGATAGGGGTGGACTGGTGCATTGTAGAGCAGGCAGGCAGGTGAGGTGGCTCATGCAGACCCACAGGTAGGTGGGTAAGCATTCAGGTGGCACCTTTCTATCCTGACCTCTTCTAGATAGGTTGGGGAGATCAGACAGACAGACAGACACACACTTTATTAATCCCGAAGGAAATTTAGAGATAAGGAAAATGCAACTGTGGAATGGACAAGTCAAAATGTGAGACAGCAGGGTGAAAGAAGCTGTGGCAGGTCTAGTTATGGTAGCATATCTAGGAGGAAGAGGCCAGTGGGAAATGGGTGAGGAAATTCCTGAGCACCAGCATTCCAACAGCACAAGGCCACATGCAAAGTGACAAGTGACAGTATAGTTCGTCCCAAATCAACAGCACTAGTAGCCACCCATCTCTACACACCAGATCATGAGCCTAGCGGGAGTAACTACCAAGACCTAGTGACCCTGTAAGCTGAACGAAACCAGACGGAACGAGTCAGAGAAAGCCTGAATCCCATAGATTTGCTGGAAGACTGTCCCACAGCTACACAGCCCTGTAGGAGTGTTGTGTGGCAGCCCAGTGTAGCTCTTTCCAGCAAAAGTGTGCTTATACATTAAATAAGGATAATTAAGTTACTTCTTTTAATTCTTTTATATTTTGCATGCATCCCACCGCTACTTGAGATGAAATAATGAAGTTTTTAGCATCTGGAGGAAAAGCATAGGGGACAGCCAGGCTAGCCTTGCTCCAAGCTAGTGGGCATGGATCCCTTGGCAGAGCGGCGCTTCCCTTAGGACAGGCGTCCTCAGAGCTGCCTGCTGTGTGAGGAGCGCAATATAAACAGGTCTTACCCTGGGCTTTCTTTCCAGCCCTGGAGAAGACAATCCCAGCCTCTGACTGAGGTCATTAGTAGACACCAGGCACGTCTTTCCCACGGGTGCCTTCTTGGCCTGATGCTTCAGGTCCACTGGCATGGTTCTAAAATAAGATTGTTGGTGTGCAGTGGATTCCCAGTGGGTCACCGCATCCATCACAAAGCTATATACATATAGCTGCCCTTCTTTAATGTTGTGCCTGTAGTCCCTAAGATCGTATCGCTTTTTTGCTATTACCTTCTCCAATTCTTTTTGTCACAGGAAGCTCATGCGTTTGTCAGTGCGACCAAACCAGAGGATGTGACAGAGGAGAAAATCTGTGAGGCTGCCAGCAACATCAGCGCTCCAGCAGAGCGCGTTAAGCGAAACCCCAGGATCACGGACAAGGAGGAGCTCGTGGTGAGTCTTGGCTTAGCGACAGCTACGAAATCCCCACAAAGGCAAACTTTTGGCAAATAATACATTTTTTTCGTTAGGCTCTATTATTCGTTAATTCAGATCAAAATGTTTGATTCTTTCTTCTTTGCAGGGCACTAACTATAGAAAAACAAATGCTGCAATGGAGATACGAAGGATCAACAGAGACTCTTTTTGGGCACGTGCAGAAGTGAGCATTCCATGTATAAATGTGTGTGTGTACGTGTGTGTGTGTGTGTACAGTTTGTATTTTACAATGTAAAGGTCGTGTTTTACAAAGTAAAGTTTTAATTTTACAAATGTATTTTTTAAAGTAGGTATACCGTTTTTAATTTACAGTACTGATTGGCTCTTTTAAGGTACAGTTTAGATATATAGTTGCACAACTTGCACTGTTGCTGGAGAACACAAAAGCCCCTCCTGCCAATCAGTAAAGCTTCATCAGGTCATATTTTATATGATCTTGCAATTCCACCACTCATCTAACCTATTTGTCCATCAGCGAGAAGAAGAAGAGAGAAAGGAGGACGAGCGTCGGAGGGCATCAGAAGACCGGCGTCGCTGGGAGAGGGAGAGAATCCTGCAGGAGCGCAGGGAGGCAGAGGAGAGGGACAGGAAGATGGAGGAGAAATTACAGATGATAGAGGAGCAGAGGTGAGAACCATGTGGACACATTCATAATTAGAATACATAAGTACCAGAGCATGTGAGCGGAGCGGAGCGGTGAGAATTTCCGCTCCTCGCTCACGAGGCTGTTGGCTCC